GGAAAAATCATTGAGCAAGTCCTCAAGGAATCCATTTCTAAGCACTAGGAGGAGAAGAAGGTGATTAGGAACCATCAGCATGGATTCACCAAGGGCAAGTCATGCCTGACCAACCTGATTGTCTTCTGGGATGAGGTGCCTGGCTCTGTGGACATGGGGAGACCAGTGGATGTGGTGTACCTTGATTTTAGTAAGGCTGTTGATATGGTCTCCCACAACAGTCTCACAGACAAGCTAAGGAAGTACAGACTGGATGAAAGGACTGTAAGGTGGATAGAAAACTGGATGGAGTATTGGGCTCAGAGGGTGTAGTCAATGGCTCGATGACTAGTTGGCAGTCAGTATCAAGTGGGGTGCCCCAGGGGTCTGTCCTGGGGTCAGTTTTCTTCAATATCTTCATCAACAACCTGGAAGATGGCATAGAGTGCACTCTCAGCAAGTTTGCAGATGACACCAAGTTGGGGGGAGTAGTAGATATGCTGGAGGGTAGGGCTAGGATTCAGAGTGACCGAGACAAATTGAAGAATTGGGCCAAAAGAAATCTCTTGAGGTTCAACAAGGACAAGTGCAAAGTCCTGCACTTAGGACAGAAGAATCCCATACACCAGTACAAGCTGGGGGCTGACTGGCTGGGCAGCAGCTCTGCACAACACAACTTGGGGATTATAGTGGACAGAAAGATGGATATAAATCAGCAGTGTTCCCTTGTTGCCAAGAAGGCTAATGGCATACTGAGCTGTGTTGGTAGGTGTGTTGCCAGTAGATCAAGGGAAGTGATTATTCCGCTCTATTCTGCACTGCTGAGGCCATGTCTGGAGTACTGAGTCCAGTTTTAGGCCCTCCCCTATGGAAAGGGTGTGGATACATTGGAGCGAGTCCAGCAGAGAGCAACAATAATGGTTTGGAGGCTGGGGCTTATGACTTATGAGGAGAGGCCGAAGGAACAAGGCTTATTTAGTCTACAGAAGAGAAGACTGAGGGGGGATTTGATAGCGGCCTTCAACTACCTGAAGTGGGGTTTGAAAGAGGATGGAACTAGTCTGTTCTCAGTGGTGGCAGACGACAGAACAAGAAGCAATGGTCTCAAGTTGCAGCAACGGAGATTTAAGTTGGATATTAGGAAAAACTTTATCACTAGGAGGGTGGTGAAACACTGAAACAGGTTACCTAGAGAGGTGGTGGAATCTCCATCCTTGGAGGTTTTTAAGGCCTGGCTGAACAAAGCCTTGGGTGGAATGATCTAGTTGGGGATGGTCCTGTTTTGAGCAGGGGGTTGGACTAGATGACCTCCTGGGGTCTTCTCCAACCCTAATTTTCTATGGGTCTATGATCCTATCACATCATTTCTGCACTGTCTGGACTGCAAAGAAATGTATTGTAAAGAGCTGCTGTTTCGTCATTATGAGTTGTTTTCTGAACCCCCAAAGGCAACTGGGAAAGCATGAGGGAATTGCCACAACTCTTGTGCCTTGTAATAGAGATGGGGAGGCAATACTGCATACCAGCGGCTACACTTAAAGGCACCTTTCAAGTGCTATTGCTCTCCTCATCATGTAGGCAAAATGTTGAGGCCAAAGACCAATGAAGGAAACATTTCACAGCAAATTTTTTAAAGTAATTTTTTTTGTGTTCCAAGCCAAATCAACCAAATCAATTCCAAATCCATGACTCATTCAAGAACCCAATGTGGCCCTGCTACCGGCAAACATCCTTCACTCCCACTTGGGGCTTCAAATGTTTCCAAATCATTTTGGCAGACATCCTACATGCAGGCCCAAGCCTGGAGGCTCGGGGTTCGGACATCCCTGAGTTTCGCTCACCCTCAGCCATATGGCCACAGGAGTAAGCTAGGGGAGAGTCTCCCATTTCCATAAAGTGGGCATAAAGCCAAAATCTTGCCATGGGAAATGAATGTGGGAGGGTAACTACACATTACCTCCACAGGTACTACCCCATGCCAGAAAGGTGGTTACCCCTGTCCCTGGGAAAACCACCATGGTGATCATGGTATTTTCCCTGCCAGATGAAAATATTTGTCAGAGCTTATCTGGCAAACAAGGGGAGCAGGCCCCCTTGGCTGTTTGGTTCATTGGCTGAACCGAAACAAAAGTTACTTCAGGTTGACTCAGATCAATTTTTTAAACATTCTTTCCCCAGTGTAAGAATCCCAGCCCCTGAATCATTTCCTGTTGAACAAAACATTTTGTTATTTTTATGTTATTTCCCAGAATACATTTTGCTACATTTCAAAACAAAATGTCTGCAAAAAGTCAAACATGGAAACATTTCATAGGATTGACATGCAGCTTGTTTGGGCTTGTTTGAAAACATTCAGCTTCCTTCAGCCAAATCAGTATGACAGGTTTACCAGTAATTCACCAATCAAGTTAGGCAACCTGACTCTGCATTTTTTCATTAAATAAATTAGTCAACCAAAGCTTATGCCCAACCTTAGCATCCATTATGCATAGAAAAGGAGAGTAAGTAACCCTGAGAAACCCTGTGCTCCTTGCTCAGGAGGAACTTCTAAGTGCCTAAATCTTGACAGCCCTCATTCAAATTTTTACCACCCCTTAATCATAAAAACTCATCCTTGCCCTGTGAAAATATTTTGTCTGAGTAAGTACTCTATTATTTTACTTACAAAGGGGATGGAGATTTGCTTGAGAAAAGTCAGCAGTCTGAGCTCCTTTGAACAAAGCACTCTTAGCCCATCAAAGCTTTCTGGGGAGATACTAAACAGAAGGAACCAGATTTTCCTGTCACATTCATTCAGTGGAATTTGTCCAGTTTTACACCAGTGCAAAAGGAGCAGAATTTGGCCCCCAGACAGAGACACCCTTTGTCTTTGATAGGGTCCTGTATGGCCAGGGTGGTCTTATTCTCTTCTGTGTCCTGGAGATCAATGGGAACTTCTAGCGGATCCCTCTTTATACCTGATCTGGGAGTCAGCACCATGCTCTCTCTCTCCACAACTCTTATTCTTTGCATTTGTTTTTGCTCTCTCGATCTTTTGCCCTTCAAAGCACTGATACTGAGGTGGAGATGCCTAGTGTATCAGAAACTGCTAAAAAGACCCTTTTGTGAATTGGGGATGAATGTAGTCTGACGGTAGGCTGATACAGCTTGATTTAGGCTTTAGCAAGTGAAAGTACCTGGTTGATGTAGTGTGTGGGTAGAAGCCTGCTCCCACTGAAGGCAATAGCAATTTTTAATTTTTTTTTATTTATTAAATTTTCCATGTTCCAAGCTAAATTAGCCAAAACAAATTCCAAATCCGAGAGTCAGTCCATAACCTTAAGTGGCCTTACTACCGGCAAACATCCTCTACCCCCATCTTGGGCTTCAGATGTTTCCAAAACCTTTGGTAGACATCCTACTTGCAGGCCCAAACCCGATGGCTTGGGGTTTGGATGCCCCCGAATTGCGCTTGCCCTCAGCCATAAGGCCCCAGGGGCAAGCCGGGAAGGAGTTTCCAGTATCTTACATTGAAAAAGGGCCATGTTCTGCTCCACCTGAATTCACTGTCATGAAAGGGCTGCAGTGAGTTGCGCAAGAAAAATGTTGTCCTGTTGTGTCTTCATCATATATTTGTGCCACCCACATTTCCCCAGTGTACACACCTCTTTTGGGAAAACACTCTCGTTCATAGGTTTACAGCAGAGTCACTACATGCAAGGTTTATTACAAAAAGTTCCCTGCCTACTTTTATCTGGATCTTTTCAGCATCCTTTTGTGGTGTCTCAGGGGTTCTGTGCCATGCTGCCTTATTTCCTCCAGATAGGAATCACTAGGGTGAGATAACATTTGGAGACCATGAGACATCTGCAGTGAGTGTGTGTTAAAGCACCAATAAAAATATCTTCACCTCTGGTATTTAACCTGCCCTGCTTGTAACACCAGGCACACTAATCATCTCTGCATTGCTTCCCCTGTATCTCAGGCATCACCATAAATAAAGAAACCAGGCAGCTATTTATGGAAAACTAAGATTATAATGGATGTATCTGGGGCAGATTTTGTGCTGTGCACTCAGGCACTTTCCATTGAGGACAGAAAAAGAAGAAATGAGCTTATATTGGAAGAAGGGGGATTTCAATTAGATATTGGGAGGAACTTTCTAACTGTGAGGATGGATAAGCACTGGAACAGTTTACCTAAGGGGATTGTAGAAACTCTGTCATTGGAAGTTTTAAATGCAGGTTAGGCTTGACTGGGATTACTCCTATGGTTTTAAGGTTTACGGTTAAACTTGTTTCATAAAGGAGAAGTCCCTTTCTAATGAAGTTTCTTCCTTGTTGTCCTTGGTTAAATTGCCTTTTTCCCAGAATATAGGAAGATGTATATGGAAAGTAAATCAAACATCTCAGAGTGGCAGGTACCCATCAGAAAGGCTAGTAGCCACCAGAAACTCCATCCCCAGGGAGTTATGGAGAGCAGTGGAGTCCTTTTCCTTAACTGCACCTCTTAAAAATGAAAAAAAAAATTTTAGAAGGCTTGAATCCATTATTAAAAAGCTCATACAAATGCATCAAGGCTCTCTGCTTACAGCACCAGGAAATGCCAACTAGCTTGTAGCACAGACTTGTGAGAACATGCTTTGTATTCTTGCTGTGGCCATAAATGGCTTAAGAAAAACAGCAGGGTTCATGCAGCTTTGGAAACCCTCAATGTTACATGTAGCTCTGCTCCATTCAGTGATCAGAGCTTATCTGCAAAGGTCAACAGTTCTTTCAGGCACGGGCTATGTTTTATACAGTGCCTGGAAGGCTAGGCCTCTGGTCCATACCTGGGGTGCCTATTGACTACTGTCATAGATAACTAATATTAATGATATGACATTATTCTCCCAATTGATAAGTCACTTAGGGCCAGATTTTGGAGGCCTAAGCTATGCTGACATTCCCAGCCATTCCAAACTCATGGGCCGGAAACTTAGAGGACTGGCTTAAACAAGTATAGTCTTCTAAAAACCAAAATAATTTAGATTCTTTTCTTTATTTTCTGAGACTTGGGGGGGGGGGAGGAGACGAGGTTATGTTTTCAAGTCTTTCTCCACCGGTAGGAGGGCTAGAACTCTTCCCTTTGAAAATGAAAGCCGGAACATTGTACACAGGCAGCCTTTTTCATTAGCTCTAAAGAGCAGAAAAGCAGGGCTATTCTGACCAGTGCCTTAGTTGTCTCTTTAAATATTTATGTTGACATGAAGAGTTGCTGAAATGGTGATTCCTTTCTGATTTATTTTGAAAGCAGCTTCCTTATGAGAACTCCCCCAGAGCCAGGATCTCATTATCCCATGCACCAGCATCTCCTGTAAACTTGGAAAGCTCCTTAGATTTGAAATCGTATCTCTCCAATGATGCATTTAAAAGCATTCAGACCAGAGGCCCAGCTGGTGATATTCAGCAGAGTGCTACACTGTGCAGTTCACAACAGCTGAAATCTTGGTCCACAGTCTGCTCCCATTCACATCAGGTTTGGAGTAACTCCATTGACTTCAGTGAAGCTGGTCTGAATTTACAGTAAGGGAAATAAGAGAAAGTTTTAGTTCACAGAAGCAGAAGTAAAGAAATGGGCAGAGAGCACTCAAGCACCATTACAGAATAAAGAGAGCCAGAAGCAATAAGAGCTCAGTTTTTAATGATTTTACTCTGATCAGTAACAAAGACCATAGTGACTCTTCCGTATGTACATACACATAAATACAAATGCAGGTATATCATTGGCTTGGCAGAGTTTCTCCTGATATCCTCAAGTCTATTCTGATCAGCTTTTTCTAGTCCAGGGTCTCCTGGATCACTTAAATTCCCATAGCTGGGATTTTCCTCCCTTCTTCTAACAATAGTAATACTGTACCCAGAGATACAGCTGCAGGACACACGGACAAACCTGCACTAGGCTCATGCTAGCCAGTGTGGGTAACCATCACGGTGAAGCTGGGGCAGCACAGAAGGCCATGGCGGGCTCATGCTGCCCAAGCAACAGCCTGTGCAGCTGCAGTTTCTCTGCTGTTGGAACATGCTCCAGTTGCACCTCCCAAATGCAGTGTAAACATTGCCTCTGTGGCCTGCACCTGTGCATTTTAACCCCATCCACCCACCCCAACATCCACTCTACTGCCATTACAACTACTCCTCTGAGCTCCCTCCCTGCCATGAACAGGAACATTATTTTCTATCTAATCTACGTTACTGGATACTGCAGCATCTCTAGTCCTCTATGAAGCCAAGGCTACCGCTGCAAAGCACTTCTAACATGCATCTCACTTCTAACCTGGAGACATCCTCACATGCTTCCAGTACAAAATGTGTCTCCTCCTACATGGAAAGGCTGCCACACTGGATTCAATGGCATGAAATTGCTTTGTCCTGGGGATATTTACCCTTGATGGGGCCAAAGTGTGATACCAAGGGCACAATATCATTTACTATTTACTATGGAAAAACCTATGAGAGAGCCTCCTTCATTAGAAAACCCACCAAGCCCAATGTCTGCCCGGACAGGATTTTGGGGCTATCTGTATAAGGAGCTCCTGGTCTTAACCAATACTCAGGTCTCACATGCATGTACAGCACCTAGCACAATGTATCCTGAATCCTTTAGCCACTCACTGTCATTATCATTTACCTTGAGTCTCTGGATCAAGACACCTAGGATTGCATGCTCTCTTGTTTCTGTGGCAGACTGTCCTTTCAGTGGGCCTGTGCTATGTGTCATCTCTTGGAGAAATGGCTATTGCCAGATGGAGTTCCCAACAGGTCAAGCAGGACTGCTTTTACTCCAGTTCTTACAGGCTGAACAGTCCCCATCTTGCTGAGGGTTACTGCAGTCTGATTTCCACTGATATCCCATTGTGCATAGCTTTAGTGCCTTTCCCCACCTGTGTCTGTTCTAGATGAAGGTGTGAGGAAGTCCTTGCATTTAGCTACTTTAGCTTTCTTCCATCCCCAGAGCACTGAATCTCCCTCCAGTCATGAACAGGGACCTGCTGAGAGTTACTTTTGTACTGCTTGGGTCTGGAGGAGGTTAGTGGTCTCTAAGGCAGAGTGATTGAAGGACAAAATATAATGGGAGTTAAATTCCTCCCTACTGCATTCCCAGAACCCCAGAGTCCCTGCCAGTTCAGGTCTCGGGGGAGTATGTGTTTGTCCATTCAAGCAGTTAAAAAATAAACATTCCAATGGGCAACATTTCTCCATATTGCGATTCCAGGGAAATGATCCCTCGTAAAGCAACAGGAATGTATTTGACTTGTTGAGAAATTTTCCACATGCTACTAACAACTGAAGCCCAGCCCAGATGCCCCTCTGCTGCTCACTGAACTGGACTAAGGCAAACCCATAGCACTAGGTTGGGGAATGACTTTGTCTCATGGGGTCTGGGTTTTACATTGCAGCTTGGAACTGAAACTGCAGGTGGACTGTTTTAATGAGCACCTGGAGTGGTTAGTGGTAACCACATCTCTCCCACTGGGTATTACTCTTCCTTTTCCTGCCCTCTGGCTTCCTCAGGCCTCCTACACAACCCAGTCTAATTTACTGCAACAGGCAGAACTCCTGGCCCAGCCATAAAACCCCTGCCATAAAGGGAGTGGCTTTGAAAGGTTGCTCAAATGGGACTAGAGTGCTAAATAAAGATATGCAGCTGTATGCTCAGAACACTGGTTTCTATTCTAAATTAAAACACTCTATTAAGGCAATAGGAAATGGCTTTGGTTTTTGGACCCAGCTGGATCCTCAGATCATCTGACCCATGTCAGACTAACTGGTTTCTTATGAACACCTACATATCCCATTGTGTCACACCAGCAAGAGAACCTGTGCTGTGCAAGCAGCTATTGTATTCCTGGGATGGTTACAGTTACTGAGCTTCCAGCAACATCTGCTATATGCAACTGTTGCTCGGCAATATAGGCTTAGTGTCAGATCTTTCAGCCCTTCCCCCTGTGAAGAACTGCATTGACTTCTGTAGGACAAGTCAGGGCAGTAAGAGATACAAAACAGGCTCTCTTTGCTGCTGGAAAGTTAAGCATCTTTGAAATGGTTCGAGTTCATGGAGTAACCCACAACCTGACCCTGTGTACCAAAGTGCCTGTCCCTACCCAAGTGGTAGGAGCTCTTCAGAATGCTGAACTTGAGTACAACGCTGGGATCAATTTGAGACAGAGACTGCCATAAATTCCAACAGTAAAGGCTGCCCAGCAATGGCACATCTGAGTGCGTGCTAGTTGTAATGCATCAAGTCTGGATTCTGATCTTGCCTACAGGGGTGTAAACCCAGCATGACTCCATTCACTGCAGTGGAGTTGCCTGGGATTTACACCAGTGTAAGAAAGAACAAAATCTGACCCCCAGTATCTCACAATCAGAAGCACAAGTCTTAGAGTATGGAGACAGTCTGTGGTTCTCTGTCTGCTGGGTAAATAACAGGGCCCAATGCAGCCTGTACAAAAAAAAGGAGAGAGAAAAGACACAGATGTTTGCTAGCTAAAGAGTCCCTCAGCTGGCACCAAGTATTCCTGTGGAGGCAGGAAATGGCACAGGCAGAGCATTCATAGTCACAGGACAACTCAAAGCAAAGGGATTTGCTGCAGGACAGAGCAGGGCTGTGACAGGTTTTTCATGCCAAAATATAAAAGGGAACCGACTAGGCCAAAAAGTTTGAGTGTTTCTTGAGTCTGTCACTTCTTCTGCCTGTAGAGGTTGCTCCTCTTCCTAGTGCTGGCCACTGTATACCAGGCACGGGGGTCCCATGGGAAGCTAAGACTACTCTGAGGAACAGGGAAGGGGCTTGTTTTAGCCTGCCAGCCATGAATTAATTTCAAATCAGATTAAGTTTGCAGATCTGCAAACATGATGGGAAGTTCATTCTCAAGAAACAGCAAATGTATTTGACCTGGTTTCACTAGGGAAAGTGAAAAGCTTTTAGCCTTAAAAAAATCAAATCAAAGGTCACTACAATGTACAATGTGCAGCACCCCCTCCCACCCCACCATGCTCAAGGACACCCCCCTGCCACTCCGCATGCTACTTCAGGTCTCCTCCAGGAAGGCTACAATGTCACTACTTCTGCAAGCTGCCACCACACACAGGAGAAACAGGAGCTGTTGGAGAAACAAGCAAAAGTGGGTCAGTGCCATGGGCAGGCAACTAACTGGAAGGAGGCAAAAATGGATATATCTCCTCCAACACCACTTAGCTAGAAGAGTGGAAATAGCATTGGTGCTGGCCAAAACAGGTTGAAAAATGGAAACATTTTCACAAAATAATTTTTAAATAATTCTTTTCACAAAACATTTTCTCTTGCAAGTCCAAAAATGTACTTACTGCACAGTAAGGTGTCTACACATGCATTACTGTGTAGTAACTAATTGGGTGTAAATTTGATACCTGCCTGATGCAGGTATCAAATTTATGCCCAAGTTGGCATAAGTTGCCATAGTTACTGTGCTGTACAGGCGTGCACATGTAGACACCTGTACTGCACAGTAATTTTCTGTTGCTGTGTAGTAACCTAAAGTACTGTGCAGTAAATATGCATATGTAGACACACTCAGTAATAATCTCCCCACAACTAACTAAGGCATCCTGTCCATCTAAGAAACCTCTTGAAGATTCTGGATCATAGATGAAGCTATAATCCCGGCGAGCATCTGCATAGGAAACCTTGTCCCCTAGTCTGACTAACAGCTGCTGGCCACAGTATGTAAGGCTCATGGGTTTGATACAGTAGGAGTGGCCTCCATCAGACAAAAAGGTGGGGCCACATGGCTCCCTGGTCTAACTCCATTAGTTATGCTCTACTATAGTCTGTATGAAATTGCTGAGGGTCAGACTGGGATGCAGGAAATAGTGCTGCTTGACTCAAGCTGCACCCAGTCACTCTAAATCCTACTCCACAGCTCCAGAATAGCTAGATGGCTCTGTTAAAAATGATAGTCTGTGAAGTAGAAATAAACTTGATTCTGACTCATCAATAGGCTTCACTGTGAACTGGGTCAGGCCTCAGTTCCTAAGACCAAATATGATGACCTACTTTATGTAAAGTTCAGGTCAATGGGTTTACTCCAGTGCCATCATTTTTGGTCCCTCACTGCCTTTTGCAGGTGGTTCAGACGAGGTTACTGCTATTCCTACACCCCTAGAGAAGAGATCTGGGAATACCTATGGCCTCTTTCAGAGGCTAGCCCCCAGGAAGGAATGCTAATAGAGGTGCCTGGTAAGAGCAAGTATATAAGTGTAAATGATACTGATGCAGAAAGGAGGAACCATTATTCTAGTTCTGGTTCCAATCCATAGCACTGTTTTGTAAGCTAAAGTCAAACAGGTCAACAGGAAATACTTACCAGGATCTGCCTTAGATTTCATCAGACTCAGGTTGACCAGTCATTTCAGTCCTGAAAGAAAAAACAACAAGCTCAGGAAACCAATCAGAAAGATATATAGGAAAAATATCTGTGGGGGGGTGTCATTTAACTGGTCAGCCCTTGACAGAGCTGCACTGTGCACACTCCTATTGGGTGGGTGTTGCTTTCACACTCTACTACTGGGGCATTTTATTACATATTGTTCCCTTCTCATTGACACAGGCTCAGGGGACTTTACAAAGTCACTACTTCCACACTGGTGCTTAAGTTTTGATCTTATTTACATTGGTGTACCTCCAGAAGAAATCCATGGACTTCAGTACAGACTCTGCTGAAACCAAAGTCAGACTTTTGCCCAGCTGGGGTTCATTGCAGCAAGCCACCATCTTTGTGGCTCAGGTTTTCAAAACAATGTATGGCATGTAGATGCCCAATTCCCAATTGTTTTAATTAAAATAAAGAGTCCAAATCTCTGAGACAGCTGTGAAAATCTGAGCCTGTTTGTCCAATAATTGCTCACTTGCTGCTGAGATATTATTACCAGGTAGCCTGAGCATCAGGGATAAACTTCAGCTCTCTCTGCAAAGCACTATGGGACCTCTTATTTAGTTGCTACCAGACCTGGAAGAAGGGATTTGAAGTTCCCTGATCTTCAACACTTGATTCAGAGGCTGTACCCCTAACTCCCATGCTCAATAGCTACCAATGGCCCTTTCCTCCAAGAATTTGTCCAATCCCTTTTTGACTCTGGCTAAACTGTCAGCTTCCACAACATCTTGTGGCAATGAGTTCCACACTTTAATTACACACTGTGAAAAAACTTCCTTTTGTTAGTTTTAAACTGACTACCTACTAGTTTTATATTGTGTGAGAGAGAGAGAGTAAATAATAAATTCTTATTTACTTTCTCTTCACCATTTAGTATTTTGTAAATCCCTATAATTACAGTGCATCAGAGCAGACTTGATTAGAGTCTGTTGGAGTGTAATAATTACCTTGAGCCTCATGTGTCTCATGTATCAGCGTCCCTACACTTCAAAATGGTGGCGGAGGCAAGTTCAAGCACTCCTACCACCATTTTGAAGCACAGTGACATTGATACACAAGATGATACAGCACTTTAATTAGTGCGGCTCTCAGAGCCACTAATTAAAATGTACCCCTCCCCCACTGCACATGTAAAAGCGCCCAATAGGCCTAGCTTCTTCAGTCTCTCCTCATATGGAAGCCCCCCCCCAATCATCCTTGTTTTCCCTCTCTAGTTCTTCTACATCCTTTTTGAGGTGTAGGGACCAAAACTGGGCACAGTCTTCAAAGAGTAGATGTACCCTGGATTTATAAAGGGACATTATGACACTTTCAGTTTTGTTTACAATTCCTTTCTTAGTAATGCTTAACATTTTACTTATCCTTTTGAGAGCTGCTGAAAACTGAGCTGATATTTTTAGCAAACTGTCCACAGTGACTCCCAGATCTCTTTCCTGTGTGGTAACAGCTAATGTAGAGCCCATCATTGTGTAGGTAAATATATAATTTCCTGAGTGAATGGCATTTTGGGAGAAAGGCTGACTTGGCAAAGCCTTTCCAGTGATATGATCAGTGTGGGTTGATGTTATTAATCAAGGCTCCATGCCCATGTAACATGACCAGCAGTCCTCCCTCCTTTTCTGACTCTGTGGTTATTTAACTCCAGGAAAAGTCTGCCATCATAAACCAGGAGGTATTTTGTAGGTTTCAAGAGGATTACTTCAGCTATTGAGATCACTTGGTGCTGGTGGCCCTGAAGACAGAGCTGACTTCCTTCCTAAAGGCCAGTTCCAGCTGACTTCCTCCAGCAGCCAGTTTCCCACTGAGAATGGAGAAGCCCCAGGGAGATAAATGCAGGCCCCTATATTCTACATATGAAATCACAGTCAAACTTCCTTCTTCTTCAACAGTCTTAAAGGATCAGAAGGACTTCACAGTACTCAGTAGCAAACCATTAGGATGATTTAGTTCAGGGGCGGGCAAAATGCGGCCCACAGGCCGGATGTGGTCTGCCAAGCCATTCTATCTGGCCCGTGGGGCCCCTAAAAATTTTAGAAAATTAATATTAATCTGCCCTGGGCTGTCTGTCATGCGGCCCTTGATGGCTTGCCAAAACTCAGTAAGCAGCCCTCCACCCAAAATAATTGCCCACCCCTGATTTAGTAGAAGCCCATTCAGCCCCTTCAATTGTAAGGGCCTTAGTTTTCTCAAGTGCAAGGAATTTCCTTCAGCCCCCAGCTTCACATGGGAACAGGAGGCTTAATTTGTTAGTATTTGTATTGAACTTTGTTATGATTGGATGGAAGGAGCGAGAGAACCCTTAAATCTAATTCTTTAATAGACTTTGCTGAACCATTTCAGTGCACCATTTAAACAGGACTCTAGCTAGACAGGATTAACTACAGCTTGACTGGCCAGCATGAACCAAGCCAAACCATATTATAAACATTTGTGATACTATGAGCAACAAGCAGGCTGAAAACGACTGTGATACTATGAGCAACAAGCAGGTCTAAATGGCTGAAAAGAGCAGCATATGACTCCATCAACATTACAGTCCTGTTTAACTGGTCATAGTCATACATGTACGTTACTCAAGTCTGCTCCAACATGCATGTACGTCTTACATAGAATACTGTACCTGTACATGTACAATGTATATATACAGTCTTCTATGTAAGACACACCAGAGCGCACATGCGCACATGCACAAATCAAGCTCTCACAATCATGAAATGCTATAAACATTCTTAGAATGTATATGCATAAGAGGTGAAGCATAACTCCTCCCAATTATTTTATATAAACAAATGGCCTGAGAGTTTCTTTGTGTTTTTCCCCTACCCTTTAGCCCCTGCTTCTCCAGTGATTTTCTTGCTATTCCACATATCAGCTCTTTAATTTCTCTGATTTTGCTGGAAATCTTCAAAGACAGTGACATGACAATAGGATAAGGTTTGGAAAGGTGCAACTCAGGATTTAACAGAGACATTTACCTGTTGAATTTTAGGTCAGTATTTCCCATTACTTAAAGGCTGGGAAAGTTGTGGATCAGGTGGCCTCAGTAATCAGCTTGGGTACTACAGCATTTCTGGGTTTCAGTAGCGCTCCCAGCATGGTAAGCACTGCCCCCTTATTTGATTTGAAATAAATCTGTTCTCTTTGCAGTTCACCTTAAAAGTATAGTCTCCCTGTCTCTCATGATATTATGAGATGTACAATGTAATACAGAATATCATACAGAATGTGACACAGCACGTGTATGCTAGACGTAACAGAGACTGTGCTAGAGTAGACTCGGAACTCAGCTACCCAGGTGTAAATCCTGAGTCATTTCAGGGACAAGGTTCACACTGGTGCTCCTAAAAGTAGAATCTGTCCCTTTGTACCTCAGCTGAGAAATGAGGGCCTGATTTTTAAAGAAAAGCCTGTAGGCAGAAAGAATGATCAAAGCCAAGTGATGTTTTGCTGAAATATCAACCAACTGCAGCACTGAAGATTAACTTTCTCTTCTGTCCTGTGTTAGGGAGAAAATGGTTGTTTCCTCAATCTCAATTTTTTTATAGTACCTGAGATACCGGCAAGTACCTGTCACCTGTTTAGAGGAGGGAGAGCTCCCATTGGGAACTACATATGACCGTGTGTGTGCTCCCTGCTTGTAAAGAGACTACGTTATGTGCCACATACATAAATCAGATGCTTTAATTATGGCAGACTGCATGCTATACTCAACATCCAACTTTCATGCCACTGCCCTTCCAACTTATTTCCTCTGTCCCCTACTTCCGCACCTGACACTGCCACCTACTGTAAACTGCCTCTATGCCATACCAGCACTAAGCTGCTGCAAGCTTCCTTGCAGTCAATCTTTTAAAAGATTTATCTACTTTCCATCAGTAACAGAGAAACAAATGGATGAGATCAGCAGAAATGGCAAGTACAAATGGGCATGAAAAAGCATATGGAAGAGCCACAGATCACTATAGCCCAAAGTGTGCCCAGGAGGAATCGTCTTTACCATTGGCCCTGATGTTGCCTCCTGGGAATGGTGGGGTGCTGTCTTCTCCGCATATGTACAACTGTGTCTCCTGTCTCCTGCACTGCTTGTTCTGGAAGCAGGACAAAAAAAAAATTAAAAAAAAATAAATCAGAAGATACCTATGTTGATAAGCTACTCCTAGCCTACAGTAACTCCTGCCCACTCCTACTTTCTCTATATGCAAGAAATGGCCTTGCAATGTCAATCACTGATGCAAGTGAACTGCTGCTGGAGGCCAGGAGTCTTCCTACAATCCTTCTTCTGCTCAAAGGCCTGCACTTCACAGGAAGCTCCTACAAGCTGGGTAGATAGCCTGTAACAGGGGGCCTTCCCCGGGCCAGTTTGATGTTGGCCTGCCCACCTGTCTCTCTCTCCTGCCATGCCTTGATGATAAAAGATTATGATGTTATTCAAATGGGAGGATGCCCATTTAAGACCCCAATGACTAGGAGTGATTTCCCCAGCTCCAGACCTTTCCTTACACTGGGGCCCATGCCTCGCAGATAGCATCCCAGGGAGCTAAATTCACCAGTAACCCTTCACCCTCTACGAATGTGGTCCCCTCTCTGGGACCTTTGGCCTCCCTAGGCCCTGGCCTCGCCCTTCAGGCCAGTCGGAATCCTGAGCCTCTTGCTCTGGGCTCTCTTGTGGGCCCCTGGCCCTTTTGCCCCCCTTGGGTCCTTGCCCCAGTTTGGGTGCCTTGCCTTCTTTTAACCCTCACAACTCTGCTGTATCAAATGAACCTCAGCCCTCTCACTGTTCTCTCTACTCTGAGCTCTCTCCAGCCAGGACTGTGCGGGGGATGGAGGTTTTCAGGCACCCCCTACCCGCCTTTCACCAGGGCAGTTCATTGCACTGGCATTTCCTGGGGCTGCTGTGCCACTGGCAGTCCTACCAGGCCTCCCTACCCTGGTAGGGTGCACTTTTAGGTCATGCCCAGGACCTGGGGCCTCCTCCATCCCAGTAGCACCAGCCCATATCTCTATGATTTTGTGAACCTCAGCTCAGTCAGCTGATGTCTCTCTCACTGCAGCCAGCAGCAAACTGCTGGTTCACCATATATATATATATAT